CCCCATTGCATTCTCCCTGTGTTGTCTTCCACGAGCTGTTTTCCCTGCCTGGACGCCTCCAGGATTTGCCCACTCTCAACAGAACAAAGCTGGCTATTTTATACCACTGCAAGGTCGTTTAAAATTAGGGACAGAATGTTAAACACAGGTAGCAGAAGCGATTTGCTCACTCTGTACGTGAGGGACATATCCACACTGAGGCATGGGATAATGAAACTACCTTTACCTGACAGAATTGAACAAGCCAGGCTCATCAGTGTTTGAAGTCTAACCACTGTCATGTGCATATGGCTCTACACAATCTAACACTGCTTTTGGGCAGCTCCACCTCATTGTTCCTAAGCATACAACCTTGCTGGTCAGGTTCCTCCTTATCTGCAGTGGTTCTCAGAGGATACTGCCAGCTGCCAGGGGAAGCAGCTACAGACTCTTGCCAGGTGTAAACTGGGCAAGGAACGTGCCCCCATCCCCACAATCCTGTTTTTTCCTTTTCACCCTCTGTAATTCACTTGCTCTTATGCCAATGCGCTCTAATTTTCCTTAAAAGCAGGCTAAATATCTAGCGTGGCAAATCCAAAGGCCTGATCTGACTGTAATTTCTGGATATTACTGCAGAACCAAGCGAAACTGTAAGCCAGCCACTCTACAAGACAGATTAACAGCTCTGCTCAGCACTGCCTATAGAGCACAGACAGCGAGAAAGCTAAGGTTTTCCTCCCCCATACTTGGCTTTCAGTGAATTCATAATAGAGTGCTGCTCATCCAACGCTTCTTGCAGCTGGCTGACTTGTGCTGCAGACAGCCTGTATTTGGAGGGAAAAAAAAAGAAAGGAAAAAAAAAAAAAAGGGTGGGTAATTTTGCCAGGAAATGGAGAGGGCCCAATTCTGCTATCCAAGAGCAGAAAGCACTCAGAAATTCAACTCACCTGCCACTCCTGGCTATTTCTTCTCTCTGCTTGTCTATAGTGTCCATCAAATCCAAGAACTGTGAACAAGGCAAACATCAGTGAGAAAATGAACTGTATCGCTTGAAGCATTTACAGTCCATCCTTCTCTTCCTAGTGACAGCTGAAGACAGGTCAAGTCACTCTACTGAAAGCAAGCAAACTGGAGGTTTGACGGGTTCATTAGCACATCTGACTGAGGTCATCAGCTATAGGGAATCTGCACCATTAGGTGTCAGGAGGAAAACGGACTCACATTTCCAGGTTTTCACCACTTGGAAAATATCAAAGCAGTTGCAAAAGAAGAACCAAAAGCACAAATATGGGTGAAAAAACCCACCAAAACTCCTCCAGAATCCAGAGTGAATATTTTCAGCAGGGCATATATCCACACACATACTGTCATGGATTTGATTCCTGGGCAACCTAGCTCAGAGGAAGATCCCAATTTACTAAACCATGCTGTGTGCCACCCATAAAGATGCACATGCAGCTTCAGGTGCACAATAATCCTGTCACTGAGTGTTTCGTGGGGACACTGAGGGAAAGCATAGGATTCCAGCTGCCCCATTTGAACTGCCAAGATGTAAGACTGCTGACCTGCTTGGCCTTCTCATCCTTCAGACTCAAAACCTCCTTGCTGAGTATGTGCGTTCGGTTCTGGGTCTCTCTCAGGATAGTCTGACGGTCTTGGTTGTGATCCGTGGCTTGTTCTGATGCAGAGAGAGCAGGAGAGCATGCACATGTTTCTAAAGCAACAGAATAGCAAGCGCTGCTGGAAGAGATAGCACTCAGGATGACACCTGGCTATCAGAAGCACCAGGACAGTAGCCCTTCTCAGGCTGGCCCACACAGAGAGACCGCTGTCACCTCACAGCGACATAAGGTGGGGCAGAATCGAAGAGAGCTGTGTATATGGGGCAATCAACACCCCAGCCACTGGAGAGCCATTCAGCTCCATGGTGGGAAGGACGACGACAAAGGACATGCTGCATTAACCATATCCAAACTTGGCTACTCAGAGGCAAACTAGAGCCCCAAGTTCTCCCACATTTGCATGGCACAGTAATCTCTAATTCAATCCAAATTATTTTTTTCCTCTTACTGGTACAAGTGACACCCCCAACCTGACCAGCCCTCATTAAAGGACAAGAGGAAGCGATGCAGGCATCGTGTAAATGCTGTTGAGAAAGGGAGGGGCGAAGGGATAGCTCTCTTCTGGAGCAGCAAGTGCCCTATATCCTTCAAGTGCTGATTCTTTCCTGTACAACAAGTAGTACTTACCCACAGCTTTCAGGATGTCACTAGGAACGTTGTTCCCAGCCAGCTCCAGCCTCTTCAGGGTCTTGTTGCTGTGCAGGCAGTTCAGCAAAGCTCGGCCACCCAGAAGCCCAATGTTATTCCAACGCAAATCTACACAGAAAGCAAACTTTCACCTCTGCAGTCACACATCTGAAAAACACAGGGCTCAAGAGAAACCGTGCTCTTTATACATCTACAATGTATATATAACAATATATAATGTATAACTAATCCCAGATGGTCTCAGCACAAACACAGGTGAGTACTGTCTCCCTTTTCAAGATGAATGAGAGGGAGGGAAAATCACAGACAAAGCAGGAAAGGCAAGGGTGAATCTCAAGTGCAGTGAAGTGCAGGAAGCCATTACAGTTCAAAAGGTACACAAGTCTGCCCCTCACATTTTCACCTCATGAGCCTTCCTTCCACAACCACAATCTGTGGATGAGAAAGAACTGGCACCGAGAGCCATGTTTTCCTGAAGGAAATTCTGGCAAAATTCCTTACTAAGGACAAAGCAAGTGTAAAGTAAGTCTCAGAGTCTGGCATGAGGCATGCCAACAGCACCCACAAATGAGAATGAACCTATTTCCCTCCTCCCCTAACAACTGTTCTGCTCCAAGCACACAACCTTCATCTGCAGGTTTGGTTCCAGAGATTCCGATTACAGTTCCCACTCTCCAAAGGCCATGGGACTGTGACCTCTACTCCCTGCACAAAGCCTGCAAAGCACTCCAGACCGACAGGAATTGGGAATGACACTGACCAGTTGGCAGAGATCAGGGCAGGCTGCAACAAACCTGAAGATATATGTGTGCATGCATGCATACATGTAGGTGGGCACAGAACTAGTCACTCTTACCCAGCTCCTGAAGGCTGGCATTTTGTTTCAGTGCCATGGCCAGCTCTACGGCCCCTTGGTGGTTGATCTGGTTATTGCGCAGGTCTAGCCGCTGGAGACAGTTGTTTGCTCCCAGTCCTTGGCAGAAAAAGGAGAAGCCCTCCTCCCATACGCCGAGGTTGTTCCATTCCAAGATTAGGCTAGGGAAAATCAGACAGGATTGGAGTTCATGGAGTCAACGGACAGCTGCAAGAGCTTGAATGACACCTAGGTCGCTGTACCTATTTGAACACCCGGCTCCCAAATAGAGACTCATTTTCAGAGAGCAGGATGCTGCTAGGGCCACGCATCCTCAGAAAAGGCACCTCCAGTTCTCACGCCTTCACCTGTCCCATCCCTCACAAGAAATTGCACCACTCGACATTCCTCCTACCCCAACAAAAAACACCCTCAACCCTTGCCTAATGTTGTGCCCCATCTGGCAGGAATAACAGAAAGAGAGGTAGATACAATTTTTTACCTCCTGATGGATTTGTTCTGCCTAAGAAGTTTTCCCAAAGCCTCCGCTCCCATGGTTCGCAGGTTATTTCCCTGAAACAAAAGTCCCAGGTGATCAGTAGGCTATGCCCTGTCCCAATTCAGCCATCCCATCAAACACCACCAGGCGCACCCCAGCTGTAATGCCAATTTCAGTCTGTCAAAGATGGTTTGAGTAACATTTGTTTCACATATCAGTCAGCTTTCCAGAAAATGAAAGACCCCGGGAGGAACGGTGGATACATACACCATCAGTATTTTGAGGCATCGCGACTGAGAGCTCACAAAAATCACAGGATAGCACAGGATCAGCATGGCCCATGATGGGAGGGAAAACGCTGGTTCTAGATAAGCAGAACCATTTCAACACACTTCATTAAAAAGGGCTCGGCTAGCAATAGCACAGATGAGAAAGAAAGGTGTGACGCGGTTTAGGACTGTAGATTCAAGGGAACAGCTATGTGCCAGAGGAGTACAGGCAGAAAGTCGCTCTCACAGTAGAGCGATCGTCACATCTGAAAGTGCATGCTTAGTTCCAAGCCCCAGCCTAGCTGAAAGACACTGGCAAGCTAGATAAACTCTACAGAAGCGCAAGTCGAACAACTAGTAACTCATTGATGAACAAGAAACCCAAAGAAAAGCCTATATATGCCTCATCTGACCGAGCAGCAAACGACAAAAGACATACAGCAATAACTTCCTATCAAAACAGAGTGACTGAATAAAAACAGACAAAGATGAGCTGCAAAGTAACTTTGGAAAGTTGTGACACGGTGTTAGGGAGGCAAGGACTGGCTCACGTGAGAACAAGGACTTTACAGAAGTACATATCTTGTAGAACAATCCTGCACCAGGACTGTCTAATTCTGATTACGCTTGTGCTATTTCCTTCCCCACCTCTTTGTCTTAATTTCATTCGACCAGACTCACCTTCAAATCTAAAGATTTGACTGTGGTGTTGGAGCAAAGACCATGCAACAGAAGTTTTACACCTGAGTAGAAAGAAAACAGACAGCGGTTTATTTCATACGTGTAACGCTCTGCCTGAGCGGGAAGAGAAAGCATCCTCTCGAACAGCCAGCTCAGCAGACGTGGCTGTGATAAAACATATGACTTAGTAAATGGCCACTGCTGCTGGAAAGCCTGACTCTGAGCTTTCAGGGCAGATTTTTTTTTTGTACATTCTCGGAGAAAGAGGTGCCTGGGTAGAGAACTGCGTGTCACCCTACGTACCCTCCTAATGCCGCTATGAAAATCGCCCGCGTCCAGCCAGGCCACGCAGACAAGATGCTCGCTGGCTTACTTACCCCCGCTCACGCAGCGGGGAGGGAGCAGAGACCCACCCTACCGGCTACGGAATCCCATTCAACGCCTGCTAGATGTACCCATCCAGCGATCAGACCCAGCAGATCACCCTCTGCCTCCTCCCGGTGCGGCAGCCGCCACCGATCCCCTCTACTCGAGGCCAGCAGTAGCAGACGCGCTCTCGAAGACGCGGGGGAAAACACCTCTGGCAACCCAGGGGTTCGTGGCCAGCTACACTGCGGCGGGCCCGGGCCCCCCCACCCCCCGCGCGGGCCCCCCCCCCGG